AAAATACAATTCATCTGGGTCGAACTCTTGCTTATTATCATTTAAGTTTTTCCTATTTTTTTCACAAATAATTTTAAAATTCACCTACTGTTTATTGATGAAGATGACAGCACTAATCTAACAAGAAATTTTATATAATAGTGGACAGATTTGTCTAGTCAGTGAGTTTCCTTTCTGCTACTTCTTCTTTTTTAAGATTTATTTATTTTTATTGGAAAGGCAGATACACAGAGAGGAGGAGAGACAGAGAGGAAGATCTTCTGGCTGATGATTCACTCCCCAAGCAGCTGCAATGGCTGGAGCTGAGCCAATCCAAAGCCAGGAGCTCTTCCAGGTCTCCCACATGGGTGCAGGATCCTAAAGCTTTGGACTGTCCTCGACTGCTTTCCCAAACCACAAACAGGGAGCTGGATGGGAAGCAGGCCTGCTGGAATTAGAACCAGCACCCATGTGGGATCTTGGTGCGTTTTAGGCGAGGACTTTGCTACGCTATCTCACCAGGCTCCTGTTATTTCTTCTCGAAACAGTCATAAGGTTTGGAGATATTTGTATCCAGTAACCTACTTTTGGACATAGGAAGAAAAAGTAATTACAGAATCTCACTTCCTAAATGGCACAAACTGCTCCCTTTCCCATTTCTCCTCTGTCCATTAGTGTTTGAAAATACAAAAAAAGAAACAAGAGGGGCCTAATGGACACAGTCTCTTCAAATAGATACCAGAAAGGAAAGTGGGTATCATCTGATCTCTGCTCTTTAGCTTAGCATGTACACTGTCATTAGCAATGAATTTGTAATGTGACTAGAATGCTCTCATATCATAATCACAAAATTGTCACTGCTATGAGGAGCAGAAAAACTTAGTCCAAACCCAAGCAATTTGCTTAGATTAATAATGGCAAATGTACAATTTGCTTTTTCAGTCATCTGATTTAATCGATGTTAAAGTAGTTGTGAAGTTCTTTTCCTTTATCCTCTGAAGTTTTTGTAAAATAATGATCACATTTTTACCCTCAGTCTGAGTGAGGAAGTCTTTGCATATATCTGTATAACATATCTTTACTTAGAAAATAATCATACTACCACTTTATTATTTATCTTCTGACAAGTCAAAGATTAACATGAAGGATATTTACTTATTCTGAATTCCCAATGCAGTTAATATTAATTACAATTGGCTTAAAAATTTCTCACTGACTTATTGGACAATTGAATAATCAAATGAAAATGAAACCAAGTACTTTTGTTGTAATTTTTTACTCTTTTCCTAATTTTCTAAAGTGGAAACTTAGGTTATGGATATAAGATGCTTCTCTCTAAAATGCGCATTGAATCTTATAAATTTCCTGATACACATTACTTATCCTGTATACTCCAAATCTTGTTAGATTATATTTCTTTGGGCCAGTGCCTTGATGTATCAGGTCAAGCTTTCATCCACTGTGTTAGCACCACATATGGGTACTAATTTGGGTCTTGACTGCTTCACTTCTAATCCGGCTCCCTGCTAATGTACCTGGTAACACAGCAGAGGATGGCTCGAGTACTTGAGCCCCAGAACGCACACAGGACACCCAGAAGAAGCTTCAGGATCCTGCCTTTAGACCAGCCCAGCTCTGGCTATTGTAGCCGTTAGGGGCGTGAACCAGTGGACTTTTCTCGCTCTTTCTCTCTCTCTCTCTCTCTCTCTCCTTGTCACTTGATAAATAAATAAATTTCTTTCAAATAAATCTTTTAAAATACATGTTAAAATTTCTCTTAGCATGTCTTCTTTGACACAGCTATGTACACGTGTGTGGCTTACGGGACCATCATTGTGGCACAGCTGTGTAACCACCAGTTGCAATGTCAGCATTTGGTATCAAAGTCTTGGCTGCTCTCCTGATTCAGCATCCTCCTAATGTGCTCAGGAAATCAGCAGATGATCACTCAGGTAGCTGAATCCCTGTCACCCATGTGAACGTTCTGGGGCATTGGTGTCATCCTGGCTCAACTCAGTATTCTTCAGTAGTTCGGGGAAGAAATGATAAATCTTTTCTTTGTTTCTCATTCTCTCTTTATCTGGCACTCTTTTCAATAAATATTAAAAGGAAATACTAACCTGTAAATATCTGGAGATTTACTGTCCCATTTTCTGTTATTTATTTCTAGACTATTTTCATTGTAATTTGAAAGGAATTATTGTATAGTTTCTGTTCTCTTAAAGTTGTTAAAGTGTATTGGGCAAACAAAACTGCTGTAAATAACTCTTCGGTAGGATCATGATGATGTGTGGGGGGAGAGCACCTGTGACTGGGTTCCAGTGTTTTTAGCGTGCTTAGGCCCATAGAGGTGAGCTCCCCCTTGTGACTCAGCCTTTCCACCCCTTAGTGGAACTTAATAACTAAAGCACACTGGATTGGGATATTTGCCTTTCTCTCACTAGACCAGTTAGGCTCTGCAAACAAATCAATGATTTAGCCTCTTATGAAATATTTCTCTTGGAGACATCTTGTTAAGATGTCTCCCAATGTATTTTTCCCCTGGTTAATTTTCCTTCTCCCACTGAAAATATATGAGATTTTTCTCCTGTATTCACTCTGAAAACTTGGTGGCTAAACTCTGAGAGTAGTCATTCCCTATGGCTGTAACTATTGACATTTTAATTCTCAATTTCTCTGCCTAACAATTTATCCATGACATTTGGGGGTTTCTGATCCTGGCATTGGTTCTCAATGGAACTTTCTGTACTGAGATTCCACCCCATCAGGTTGTGACTCTCGGTATCTGCCTCTTTTTCCAACACCTGGGGTCAGCAATTTGCCCTATGACCTCACTTCTCTGAAACATCCAAGAAATGTTGTTGATTTTTTTTTTCACTTGTTTACCTATTGTTTCTTAGGACACAGTGGTGAAACCTAAGGTCCTCATATGCCAGAAAAGAAATTGCAAATCTTTCAAATTTTTGTTAATGTTCATCAATAAAATTATTTTTATTAAAATGTTTCAATTAATTTTAATATTTTGGTGTCACATTATGTTTTCATGGTCTAATGAGATTAAAGTCACTTATATTTAGTAAATATAACTTTTTAAAAGATTTATTTTATTATTTTTTATTGAAAAGTCAGATATACAGAAAGGAGGAGAGACAGAGAGGAAGATCTTCTATCTGGTGTTTCACTCCCCAAGTGCCTGCACCAATCTGAAGCCAGGAGCTCTTTCCAGGTCTCCCACTTGGGTGCAGGGTCCCATGCATTGTGCCATCCTTGACTGCTTTTCCAGGCCACAAGCAGGGAGCTGGATGGGAAGCAGGACCACTGAGATCAGAACCAGCCCCCATTGTGGGATCTTGGTGTGTACTGCACCAGGCCCAGTAAATGTAACTTTTCAGTGCTGTTTTATATTGATGGAAAATTATGAAGATAGCACAACACCCCATCTACTTTGCCCCAGTTTCATTTGCTATTAACATTCCATATTATTGTTGCTTATTTTTTTACAGCTAAATTAAATTATTATTAACTGAAGTCTACCCTTTAATGGAATTCCCTTCTACCTGAAGTCCATTTCTGTTCTAGGATGCCTGCCAGGAAACCACATTACATTTAAGGATAGTGTCTCCATAGTCTTTTCTTAGCTACAAATAAAGGAGATTTATAGTTTGTAGTTTACATCTATATCTATGATTCATTTGAGTTCATTTAAAAAAAAACATACAAGTTGTTTTAAATGTTCCAAAGTAACAGAACAGAAGTGACAGGATGTCATTATCAAGATTGTGCTGCATTAGATGGCAAAGGTGCTGAATCCCATCCTATGATTAAATTACATTATTAAAAATTCCATCTTGTTCATGGGGCTTTCTCTTTCTCTCTAGCCACACCCTGCCCCCCGACCAGCTGTGAAGAAGCCATCTGCCATGAAATAAATGACTGTAAAAAAATGATTCTGACAACCTGAGGGACATTGAAATTTTGGATAACATCTTCATTGCAGCCTTAGGAGAACTTGAGCTAGTACAGCTAACCTGTGCCCAGACTCCAGACCCATGGAAACATCCACATAATAAAAATGTATTCAGCCTAACTTTATATTTTTTTTTTAAAGAACAGCAGAAACTCTTGTGAACTGCATCCTCTCAATTAAAGAGATGATGTCTTTCAAGGCCTCAAAGAAGTAAGGGGAAGCACTGCTTTTTTTTTTAATCTAATTTCAAAATGAGCATTTCGTATAAGGTAGGAGGTAATGTAAGATTTCTGACTATCAAGAATAGTATTCTTTATTTTAGAAGTACATTTTTTATTACAATTGCATAATTCTTCATAAACAGTCATTACTCTTTCATTGTGGGCAAGGACAATGGCAGAGAGTCCAGCATCCTATTGTCAAGAGTCCATCTTTGATCTTTAAGTTGAGATGTATACTGCATTATATGCTCACATTTGATATGACAGTCTCTGTAACTGTTACTATACATCCCCTTAAAGAAAAAGCCACAAAACAAAATCAACAACAGGAAGAAAAATAGAAATTACAATGCCATGAAGTTAACTAACATGCTAATGTGTGACTGATGTGTCACTGAAGGAATGAAAGATAATCAAGAACCTTCTTGAAGAAAGTGATATTACTTTATGAGCTAGGAGTCATGAAGAATTTAATATGAGGGAAAAAAACTGTTCTAAAGAAATGAAAATAAGAACAAAAACATCAAAATCCATAAAATATAGTTTCCACTGATCTTTGTGGGGGAGATGTGTCTCCTGAAGGCAACAGAACGATGGATTTTGTTTTTTGATCCAGTCTACCAATCTATGATGTTTGATGAGTTTAAGCCATTTACATTCAGGGTTAATATGAATGGGTAGTAATTTGGTTCTGTCATTTTAGCAATAGGTTCTTCATTGTTTGATTTAGTCTTAAATCAGCCTATGGAACTGTATCATAAAATGATGATGATGATGATAATTATTGTTTTTTTCAAAAAGAATTGCATTTTTTTAAATTTTTATGGCCCAAAGTTCTATATGCTCACAGATCTAAAGAAATAATAACTTTATAATTTGAAAGATTCAATACAGTTGTTATTTACCATACATAGACTAAATGGATTCATATACACTTAGAATTTATGATCGATACACACAAACTGTGTCCAGGTTTGAGCTCTTCAGTTCAAACCACAATTTTAAACACCATTTATATCTTGCCACTAAGGTGTATAATATTGCAAAGTAGAAAGTGATTAACAAAATTTCTCTTCAAAAACCTTATTTGTAATGTGTTGTTATGGTATTGCTTCTTCAGTGATAAAATAGATTGATTCCAAATTTACTTGACTCAGTTTTGGTTTTGAAATGCCATTCTCCACAATTTCATTAAAAAGTCAGTGTATGAAATTCACCAATATTACATATGTGGCAACTGGGGGATTTGAGGAAAAATTTACTTTTCAATTATTCTCCCAGCAAACTGACTCAATGTGAGTCACTACATCACACTTTAGGTGACAGTAATCCCATGAAGGCTGGACTCAGACTGAAAAGCTGTGCTCTGACAAATTTGCCTATGTTTCCACTAAACAAAGGCTGCTTTTGTATAGCCCGTAAGCACACAACACATGACCTACTCTTTCCTGGACCTTGGTTAACCAAGGCTTTTCTTTTTTATTTTCCCCCAGAACATACATCTTATTCTGAATCTAATTCTTATCAGACTGCTGTGAAGCTGGCTCAGGCCCTTCCCTGCCCTCCATCTGCATTTGACATTTACTGTCATGCAGAAGCGTTGCACTTCTATGGTAAAACCATACAAATGCAGAGGTCCTATGGTCTGCTTTTCCAGATAATCTGTGGTAGTTCCCCAAGCATTCTTTCACAATGTAGAAGATTGTGAAATTTAAAATCATCTTTCCCCCAAAATAATGATGTGTTGTTTCCCCCCGAACTTGCTTTAATAGATTTAACAGGAAATGCTACATTGCGTGACTGGTTCGTAGGCTGTTGTTAAAAATAAAGACACTGCTAACCTTGCAGAAATTAATGTACCTCCAGTTGAAAACTAGTTTGTGGAGGCCAGAGTTACCCAAAATAATTGTCTTCATGTTTACCAATGACAGTATCTTTCTTTTTGCAGTACCGAAAATTATGACTTTTAGCTATTCCTTTCAGGAAAATGAGAGTTATTGGAATGATAACTGTACAGAATTAGGAACATTTGGGACGATATAGATTTCAGATTGCTCTAGAACCAGCTTCAACTTTAGCCTTTCAACTGACCAGCCTGGTGGTCATGGAAAGCTCTCCAAACTTCTACGTTTGCAGCCAAACGCCTTCTTAGGCGTAATGGTTGCAGACAAAGCCAACTGTCTGATTCTCCCACACACACACACACACACACACACACACACACCCTAACTGTAACTTTTTTGTTTTGTTTTGGTAAATGACTGTTTCACTATCCCTGAAACAAGACATACATGCACTCTGATAAAACAAAATCAAAGTCTCAGTCCTGGGAGTAGAAGGCTCTGAAACTCTGACATCAGCTATCATTACATGAACGCTGTTGTTTGGGGCAAGAAAGAGAGTGGGCACCTGCCGTACTTGACTTTCACCAGTGGCCATGGCCACACACACAGCAAGCTTAAAACTGTCAGGACTATTTATCATGTAGCCCAGATTGTTTACTGTAAAACTCTATCACCACAACAGAGAAATTATGAACATTAATGGACACTGAATAAAATATACAATTTTTGAAAAGACACAAATGTGATACTTAGAAAAGCAACAGTCAGGGGAGCAATGAGGTAATCACTGAAATACACAATATAATGTAAGAAGTGTTATGAGACAGTCTAGAAAGAGCCTGTCACTGGCTTTTCTCGGTGGATTCTGGGCATTTGCAGCAAAGAGAGACAACAAAAGAAAAGATATATATATATATATATATATTTAAAACTCTGAGTCCTCTGGAGATGTCAACCATGTGGAATAAGAACAAAAAGTAAATTGGGCAAACAGAATGAGATTCCCATCCATTTTGCCTGACTCCCTATAAGAAAAGGATTCATTCTCGCCTTCCGTAGCCTGTATCTCAGCCACATTGTTCTGTATTTCTCATCAAGTGAATCCTTCACAGTGAATATTGTGATTTCCTTCCTTATTGACACATAGGGCATGAGAAAAAGCTAATAGTCACCTCTGTTTATGAACTCTCATATATTTAGTAGAAACATTCAAAACTCTACTATTGAGACCTCCAGTAGCTACAGAGCTTAAATAAGCATATAGTTTTGTAACCTATGAAATTGAACTATGAGCAATAGTCTGGCTAATATACATTATCTTTTCACAAAGTTCTCAATATTCCATACAATGATCTAAAAAATAAATATGATCCTTACTTTTGAAAATAGCACGTGAGGCATGTGTACTTTAGACCAATTTGTTCTAATACCTAACTCATTACTTAATTTTTGTATTGTCTGCTTAATACTTGAACAATTTGGGTTGAAACATGATTTAAGAACCAAAAACAATGATACAAAAAAATCAAATAAAGATCCCTGCTGTTCTGAAATAGGATGTGGGTTTCTCAGTCCATTGTGCTTTCCCATCAGAAGGGTGGAGTTCGTGTGGAGAAGCCGAGAGACTCATGACGCATCAGAAACGACTCTCTTCCTCTTCCACAGCACGATGAAGGCCAGGGATGAATTTCAGGAGTTGCTTGCGGACACTTCCCCTCCTGCTCTTTCGGGGGAGGGTCCCAAACACGCTGGAGAAGCTGCCCTCCCACAGTGGAGACATGGATCCGCTGCTGGCTGTACTAATGCTGCGGTTCCTTCTCGAGGAAGATCTCCTTGGAAAATCATCCCCATCCTTGGGCATGAAGCACTCGTCATCTGTGCTTGTCTGCCTGCTAAAGGCACCCCTGGCTGAGTCCTCCGACACACAGGTCTGGTAACCGTCCTCGCTGTCTATGGTCATGGAGCTCAGCCAACTCTTGCAGCTGCTCTCACTGGATAGTCGGTTCCGTTCCATGAGGGACGGGGCTGGCCCAGGCAGGTTCCCAAACAAAGACACTTCATCCAGGTCGAGGTCTTCTAAACTTGTGCAATTCGTTGCATCACCTGGAAAACAAAGACCAGGAGTACTGCTGAAGGGCACTGACAGTGACTGCTACAAATAAACCAACGTTTCTCTTTTAAGTAACTAAGACCAAAGGAGCATAGATTTTTCACTAAGCTTTAACTCCTATGATCAAGTGACTTTTTATGAGGCCACTGATAATATTTAAAGTGGGATTTTTCGGACTTTTCTTCATGGACTAACTTCCAAGGAAAGGGTTCCGTGGTTTATGAAAGCTACAAAGCCAAAAAAAAAAAAAATTAAACCAAAACTATTCTTACCAGACTGGTTTAAGCAACTGACAGTATGCAAGTGTAACTTGTGAATCTTTAAATAATCAGTTTTGAAACGTGTGATCCTTGGAATGTTCTATTGATTCACATGGAAATGGGGTTACCAAAAAATTTGGAGAAATTCTATGTTCTATGGGTTTTCTACAGTTAGTTCCTCTGATCCTTTGCTATTGTCCTTTTGAAAATAATTGTGAAGCTATTATAAAGTCCTTTCAGTTATATGAGAAACATACTTATAAAAGTGAAAACGTGAAAGTGTTTATTATAACATAAAGCTATATGAAATCAAATTTGTTTTCCAGCCTCAGTATTCCAACTTTTGCTTGTAAGATTTAAATATTATAGAATAGTATTACATAGAAAAAGTAACTCTGTCCTCAAATAAATAAAGATTCATTGGAAGGATTTGATTATATCCACTTGGCTGAGATTTTTCATCAACCTTTCATCACCTACACCTAAGCTTCCCAACTCAAATGTCAGCTCACACAGAAGAATGTCCTGTCCATATGCCACCTGTGTTACAGTAGTGGAGTCCCTTGACATGCTCCTAAAAAATAGGGCAGTATTTAGAATACCAAGCTGAGAAAAGCATGGTAAGAATGAGATTTTGTTTCAAGAAAATTAATAGACACTACACACCCAGAATTTTTCATCATCATCATTATTATTTTGTACCCATTGCATTTACTGCTGTCCTTCTTTGTCATTGGTTGATAGACTATTCTTCCATTTGAACTGCCAAGTTTCCCACAGCTAGCCCTGCAGTGATTAGTCATAATGTTTCCTATTTACTAATAAAATTTACTTTTCTCTATCTTACAAGGGATGATTTTTTTTTTTATTGGAGAGGAAGGATCTCATGCATTGGATATTTGCCTAGGTCTTAAAAAATGCTAAGGAACTCTCTCAAGTCCAAAAAAAAAAAAAAAAAAAAGAACCCTTTGCAACAATGACTTTAGGAGTATTCTGACCCAAGATCTATGTGCATCAAGACATTGCTGTAAAACTCCCCATAGAGCCCACATCCATGGGCTGGCCTGGATGGCTCCTGCAGCAGAAGCAAAGGCTTCTCAAATACCAAGAGAGCTTTACTATCTCAGTCTAACATGTGTCAAAAAATAAATAGACAAAATGTTGAGGATAGAAAAATAGCTGAAAAACTAACAAAAAAGAGGCCCAATTTCAAATTTCTATAAAAAAAAGCAAAATACAACTTCAATGCAAATATCTATTCTGCACCTTAGTGCCTAAGTAAGTAGTTGTTTCTTTTTCAGCAAACAATGGGTTACAATGTTTACCAGATATTCCAGTTTGTAAATACAGACTCCTAAAGAAGGTGTAGTGTTTACTTCACAATCGCATAGTTAGTGGTTTTTGCAAATCCTTTGTGGCTGGAGCAGTAGGAAAGTCAGGAAACCTTTCTTATTGTTCAAACATATCCAGATGCCTCCTGCAAACAGATGCCTGCACATGGGTGTGCTTGCTTTCATACACACATGGGTTACAAGTCTGGAGATTGGCTATGGCTGATTTCATCCCTTCTCTACGTTAGTAGGTCACAATCATTTATACCAAAGGAATACAGACTGGTATCTGTGATCGGTGCTGTGCAGATTCTTCTGGTAATAATTATACTCTGAAAACAGCTTAGAGGCAGAAATACTGAAGGGATGAAATGTTACTGCGGTTTCTGAACAGGAAATCACATTTACCATGAAGCAGGCGCTGTTCCTGTAACTGCAGAGACCTGAACTCCACCCATTTTTGCTTCAGTGTTTGCTGTGGGAAAAAAAAAAAAAGAATAAAAGTGTTATTTATTAGGAGACCTCTGTGAAGGGAACAGTTTACTCCCAGGCCTGAGAACAGTCATTCCATCTTTCTTTTGAGGACAATTAGCACTACCATTGCCACGCTGACACGTACACACTCATTAAGAAGATTTTTGCTCCACACAAGAATACTGAGACTACTATACACTCAAGGTATAATGTAGCAGCACCAAATTTTCTCTTAAAAACATAAACAATGGAATTTATATAGTGTTTACATATGTGCAAGTTACTTACAGAACGAGAATGTTTATGTGTAAAAGAACTTGCTAGCTTTTAAGGCAAGGACTTATACTCTGTGACTTAAAGCATCTGCAGAATAGAGAGTAAGAGAGCCTAAACCCTAAGACTTTCATGGAAGTTGGACAAGTTAAGGGTTTAGAGCAGTGAGTAGAATTGAATAAATCCTCAGTTAATGTCATCATTTATATGGAAGCCAGGGTACTGAAGCAGCTTTTTCTGATGGAAATCCACTTATTTTCTACATCAAAAAGAGAAATGGCCTGGTCTGAGATGCTTGCTTGGAAGACTCAAGTTACGATGTGGCTAAGCTAATTGCACTGACCTCCTAACTGCCTCGTTCTCGGGGCCTCTTCAGCACCTGAGAGAATGAAACTGACAGCTGTGCTGGCCAAAACCGTACAGCAGGCCCAGCCTAGCTCAGGGAGTCGGCTGAAACAGAAGAAATCAAAAGCAAACCAGACAGCTGACATCCAACGAGCTGCCATCACAGGCTCACTCTCTCTGACACTCGCATTCCTGTACCCTAGCCTTCCCCTTGCCATCTGACTCCTGCCAGCAAAAACAGCAACAGTGCACAGCTCAGATCTGCCTTGTGTACTTATCCTAAATCAAGAGCAGATTAAAACCAAAAGGGAAAAGAGAAAATTACCTGAAGCCAGTGTGAGAGAGGCCTGGGAGAAGGAACATAAATTCTATGAATGTCATCAGGATACATAGAACATAAATTCTATGAATGCCTACAGGAAACATAATTGTTCCTTGGTCTTCAAGGGACTGAACCCTAACCAGGACAGAATTACTCAAGCCTTGGCAACAGTACCATTAAACAGCAACCCTTACACTTGCCAAAATAATTTGTAAGAAGCAAATCAAAACAGTAAAACACATGGCTCAGTTCATTTCTTCTTCATTCTATATTTTAATATCATGTATAATGAAGCTAAGACTTCTGTACTGCCTTAATCCTACTTCCTGTAACCCAGGTAATCCTATGTGACTGTCACAGGGCAGAATCAGGGACCTGCAGAATATAAAATACAAGGAAAACAGTAAATGCAGTAAATGTACTGAACCCTTTGTCCTCTGTTAGAGAGACATGTTATCTACAAGAAAATAGAGTTCATTAGAGATTAAGGACAGACTGGTAATCAAAAACTAAACACAAAAAGAGAAGGTTACATTTCTGCATTTACTACCTAAAAATTCACAAAGCTAGAGTTTACCAAACTACATTTCTGTGAGAATATACACTTTAAAATAGGTACTGTGCTGACTTTACCCAGTCATCTAAGTCAGTCATCCCTTAACCCAAGAAAATACCCACATAAAGAGCAGACATAGCAGCATGACTAAGAGGTTTGAGTCTGTAATTGAGCTTCCCTATTTTCAAACCAGGTTTCTGCCTATGTTATTCACATCATAACGGAGGATTTGGGCAGATACAAACCCTTACCTTTAAAACAGAAAGCATACGTGAGATCAAGCCCTAAAGACCACATCACTTCATAGTACCTAGCCCAATGCTTGGCTCCATAGCAGTTGCTCAGTAAATACTGGTTGAATACATACAGAAACAAATGACTTCCTGAAGTGAACTTGTTGCATCACACACTGGCTTGGTTCCAGACACTTTCCACATGTTATCAATCCACTTAAGACATACAGTTAAACATTCCCATGACACTTTAGTACTTATAATTATGCAGATGACTACTTGTTTAACTTTTACAAAATCTCTAAAATGTTAGAGATTTGAAAGGAATGGTTCAGTGACTATCTTGAAGATTTTGAGTAAAATATTTGCCTTGTGCTAGAAACTGTATGTAGCAGAGTTGAAGACTGGCTTTCCCAGCTAAATCATCAGAAGTGACATTTTCATGTTTAACATTTGAATCATAGGTCAGGAGAAAAGAAAAATCCCGTAAATGGAGCCTAACGGTATCACAGTTTTTAAGGAAGAGTTTTTGACTGAACACTAAGTCTTCTGAGAAATACAATGCACAATTACACAGAACAGAGTAAATGTCATTGTGTGGAGGGGATTCCAGCCTGAGTTATTGCATGTCTGAACACCAATGAGCTGGAAATCTTGTAATTCCATGATCGGAAGAAGGAGAAAATAGGAGAAGGTAGGCAGAACTGACCTCTCATGTCTTCTAAAGATGTAGAAACAGAACATTAGCTAGGAATCCAGGTCCTACAGCAATACACAGTTTAAAAGCGCTTAAAACACGTGGGGGACCAAGATACTCCCTGCTTAAAAAAAGATACATTGGCAGTCTGGTGTGGTAGTGTAGTGTCTAAAGCCCTCACCCTACAGGCATTGGGATTCCATGTGGACACTGGTTCTAATCCCAGCAGCCGTGCTTATCATCTGGCTCCCTGCTTGTGGCCTGGGAAAACAGTCAAGGACAGCCCAAAGCCTTGTGACCCTGCACCCACGTAGGAGACCAAGAAGAGGCTCCTGGCTCCTGCAAGTCAGATTAGCTCAGTTCTAGCCATTGTGGCCTCTTAGGGAGTGAATCAACAGAAGGAAGATCCTCCTGTCTGTCTCTCCTCCTCTCTGTGTATCTGACTTCCCAATAAAAATAAATGAATCTTTAAAAAGAAAGAAAGAAAGAAAGATACATTAACAAAGATCCAATAACAAAAGAGGCTGAGAAAAAGCTGCAGTTGAGCTTGTATCTAGAAAGGAAGGCCTGAGCCGGGAAGCACACTGACTCCTCAGGGCTGAAGCCGCCAGCCCAGGCCCTGAATTGGAGCTGGTAGGACTGAGTGATAGCAGTTCTCTGTCTATCATACCCAACTGAAAGGAGTGGATACCACTCAAGAGAAACCCTGAATACCCATAGACAGTTAACACCAGTAACGTTGTGAATTCTCTCCAAGCAAAAAGAGAATAGAAACATGCCAAGATCAGACTTTAAGATTGTCTATCATTTCTTGAGAGATGATGAGACCAATGTTTCCAAAAAGAACTTGAAACAAACAAACAAAAACCAGAACAGATAACAAAGGAAAAAGAATTACCTGACAATAAAAATCAGGTGGATTTTAAGAACTCAGTAGAAAGAACACATTGTAAACAAAATGCAGATAATACGAATATGACTAAAAATGTCACTAAGTAATTTAAAAGAATGTAACACAAGAGATAGGTCTTACAAAACAGGAAAGAGTGATTAAAAGGCACAATGATAGATCAAAACTCTAAAATCTATGTAATGTGAATGCCACAAGATAATGGGGAGCGATGAAGATCCATCAGAGATTGAGCTGATAGTTTTCCAAAAGAGAATGTCACAAATCGTTAGATCAAAAACAGACTGCAAGTTTTAAGTAATGTAAATGTGATAGGAAATTCAGATCCAATTGTGTTATGGCAGATTAATAACAATAAAAGAATAATAAAATCAGCCAGAAAAATGGAAGATTGAAAGGTAGAAACATCCTTGAGAAAGGATTATTAATACAGAAAGAGAGAAGGAACAGAAAGTCAGATTTTCAAAGTAGAATATTGATTTTAAAAAGATGTTCATCTAGAATATACTCCTTTTTAAAAGGTTTATTTATTTTTATTGGAAAGGCAGATTTATGGGAGAAGGAAACAGAGAAAAGTGTCTTCCATCCACTGACTCACTCTCCCCAAGTGGCTGCAGTAGGCAGAGTTGAGCAGATACAAAGCCAGGAGCTTGGAGCCAAGAGCTTCATCTGGGCCTCTGATGCAGGAGCAGAGTCTGATACAGATCCAGGGTCCCAAAACTATTGGCCATCCTCCACTGTTTTTCCAGGCCACAATCTGGGAGTGGGATGGGAAGTGGAGCAGCTGGGACACAAACTGGCACCAGTATGGAATCGCTGCTCATAGAGGTGGAGGATTAGCCAATTGAGCCATTTTGCCAGGTTTCATGTTTTTTTTTTTAAGATTATTTTATTTTTATTTTAAAGGCACATTTTGCAGAGAGGAAGAAAAACAGAGAGAGATCTTCCATCCACTAATTCACTCCCCAAATGGTCATAATGGCCTAAAGTGAGCTTTTCCAAAGCCAGGTGGCAGGGAGCTTCTTCCAGGCCTGCTACGTGGGTGCAGGGTCCCAATGACTTGCGTAATACTCTGCTGCTTTCCTGGGCCATAAAAAGTGAGTTGGCTTGTAAACAGAGCAGCCAGGTCACAACCACACTCAAATGGTTTTCTGCCACTACAGTTGGAGGTTTAGCTATACTATTCCATTGCACTAGCTCCAAAATTGTGTTCCACTTCAGAAAAACAAGTGAACATTGGCAGTTTTAAAAAGTTAAGTAGAATATAAAGTACTAGTTACTCTTTATACTAATTGGATGACAAACTTTTAGAAGTGTGCCTTTTAACGTAGCGAGCAAGAGGACAATGAAGCTATTGCTTCCAACACTGCCATCCCACTCCTCCAATCCACTCCATGCAATAGGTCTAGTAAGAACCAGATGATGGCAAAGTACCTGAATCCCTGTCACAGGAAAGGGTACCCTGAAGGAGATTGCAGGTTCTTGGATTTGGCTCAGCCCAGCCCTGCTGCTGCAACCATTTAGAGAATCAGAAAAGATTTTTCTCTGTGTCTCTTCCTTTTTCTCTCAATATCTCCATCCTCCCTTTATCTCTTTCTCCCTTTGTCACTCAACCTCTGAAAATAAAATGTTCTAAAAAATGAAGTCAAGTACATGTCTTCCACAAATAAAATATACTAAAGTTCATAGACAATGCTATATGAGAAGAAAAATAAAACAGTGAAATAATTGGGTGGATGGGGAAAATTTCATTATCTGCAGAAAAATATGAACTTTATATAGAAATATAAGGAAATCTACAATTCCAAGAACAAAGGGTGCTCACAAACACTGGTGAATTTTAAATTTCGCACAAACCAAAGGCATGAGCATTTGAAAACTGTAAGATTACATTTACCATAGCGAGTAAAATTAGAATGTACATGAGAAATATAAGAGGTGAAAAGTGTGTGAATTATGTAAGTATTTTTAAAGTACATAAAAGAAGAAAATACAAAGTTTGAGATTCTTTTGCTCAATATTTTAAAAATTGAAGCTAAAATGGTTTCAATTAGTTTACAAATGTAATTCAATTCCCATCAAAATCTGAGAAAATTTCTCGATGAATTTTAGAAATCAGTTAAAAGAATAAGCAAAATGACAACAGTTTCAACCCATGTTGACAAAAAGAAAACAAATATCACTAATATATTGAATGTAAAGCAGCAGAAAGATACATGATTAAATGTAAATACAAGAAATCCACCCTCTCGGGCTCAGAAGTTGGTGAGTCAATACTTTGTGAACAAACTAATAGCAGCTATAAGGGAATTTCAAACAGTTTATGGAATTACAAGGTAAGTTTACTACACTGCAAAATTTCTTGGAATCCATGCAATGTGTCACCACATGCATTTCCATGCACTTCTTGAAGCTCACTAATGTTTCTACACAAAGCCCAAAGAAGCAACCAGCCAATATAAGCCTGGATATCTCTGCTCAAGGTGGCCACATCATCACTATGCAGGGGCTGCACTGGGATACAGAGGTCACCCTGAGCTAGGAGGGTCTGGCCTTTAGGTCTTGATGGATTCTCAATAGCCTGGAAATTTGAGATTTGTTATTCTAGATACTCAATGAGCTATTCCAAGAATATTTGCAGAATACACTGCATCATGTACTGTCTCCTAGAAATGTTAACTCCTTTCTTTTCAAAATGGACAGTCTGTGTGTCAATAAAAGCACATTCAAGGACAGACGCAGGTTTGCAGGGAGATGGCCTTTGTTTCAAGAATAAGGCCAAAGGGAAGAGCACAAAAGGATAACACTGAAAAAAAAATCAAAAAACAAAAACCGAAAAGAACCCCAACCATAGCACAAGCATGTATCACTTGGGAACCAGATGCAAACACAAGCTGCCACAAACATTATGGAAATCAAAAGAGATAACAGGTGCATTGATGATAAGTTCTTCTTGTACCGCACCTTCCTGTAGGAAGGAAGAAAGCAATCTATCCTGTTTGTTGAATTTGATATTCCTGCAAAAGTAATTGTGTGGCTCTTGATAAATCAGAAATTTAAATTCATCATTACTTTTCATCTTCATTCCTCATGTAGATCTTTATTCTACCACTTACACATTCAAGGATGAAAAATGTGCCTCTCTTTATCAAATTACCTTTAAAATTTGCAGCTTCGTTTCCAGCTCTGCTCTTCTGAGAATCATTGTTCCATTAAGAGTCTCTATCCTGTTTTAAGAAACAGAAAAAGGAGAAAGGTAAATAACCTGAGTGATTCAATTAAACAAGTGCCATCCTTACGGAATACTATACTTTGAGTACAAACTATATTAAATTGCAACATAAGCGTTATGGTGCTCATGGCACTTCAAGTGTCTGGGCCTGGGCCAAATCTTCTGACACCGTTCAGTGAAAGCAAATGAGAAAGGAAAAAAAAAACTTTCTTAAGAGAACGGCTGAAAGAAAATATCCTGATGGATTTATGCACTACAGATCATATTGACAGAAGCTGCTCTATGACAGTGATGCTTGCTTGGTACCAGTGCTAACTCTTGCAGGAACAGACAGAATCACCTCATTCAATTGACTAATACTCATTTATTTTGAATCTACTACCAGACGCTAAGCCCCAGGCTAAGCACAAAAAATACAACAACAAAAACAATGACCATTTAGCAATCAAAATGTTACTTCTTGAAATGGGGAAGAATCTTTTCCTTCCTAGAATTCTGGAAACCATCACATCTGTAAATTGCCTGAAAATGTTGGAACAGAAACATCAGGACTAGAACTCTATATGATAATATCCTTTGTATTAACTCTTTCATCTCAAGATCTTTAGCTTATCACAGCTGGATCCTAGGATTGTCAGTGAGATGGTGTTCTATTATTCCTAAAGCAAATACTTTTCTAAAAATAAGAGACTTAATGCTGCCTGAGTCATTTGGTTTTTGACCTGAGCTCAAGACAAAAGTATTCGATGACAAAGCCATCACTCTGAGTATGATGACAAGTCAGTGACTCACACACAAAAGCAATTTTAAAGTAGTAGTTCAAATTCCTTCTCCTAATTGAGCTGTAAGTCAATTTATAAAAATACAACAAAAGTCTTGAGGCTGTGTTTCCAGTAGCATCATAGGCAAGATAATGAGATGACAGTCAAAACATTGTCCGTTTTTCCAATAAGGCATTCTTGATACCTGGGGGACAATTTGTAAGACTCTAATTCATTGGAACTTTCGATATTGATCCAATCTGACCAAGCAATTGATGCATAAGAGCAAAACATCAGTAAGCCACTGTTCTCAGCATCTATCTTGTGTTTCCTTCACCTCCGAATTTTTCACATTTTTCTCACCTATTGTGTTCCTTGGTCACATGTAGCCTGTCCACTTCACTCACATGGAATATTTCCTTATTCTAATCGCTACAATTTTGTCTTCAACTCTACACAGTTCTGTCTTCTGGATCCAGACTTATCAGGAGCAAGAGAGCCCATAACATTTACCCTAAATTCAGATGACCCAGATATCACCAGAAACCTTACCCATGTACTGAAAAACCCAAACTATCCTTTGAAATTCAACAGAAGAGCATCCAATCTTCTATTGGCAACTTATAATGATTGGCTGCATCTGAAAAGAATGGATCTTGGCATAGAGAGAAAGTGACCAAATCCTTGCCCCAAACCTATTGATTGGATGATGTAACTAAGCTTTCTTGAAGCCTTAAGCCCTTTAATCTACATTTAAATATTCCATAAAGCTACTCTGAAGAGCGAATGGTGTGATGCAGGATCCAGCTCATTCAGAATAAAACTTTTTGGCATGGCTGCTGAGGTCTCAGGTCTGTTCCCTTACCAACTCTCGGTCTTTATTCTTTACCATCCTCTCCCAAATCCTTCAACACCCAGTTATCTACGTTTTCCCTCCATCCCTTGCCAAGCCCACTCTGAAAAATCCATTTTTTCTCTTTTCCTAAAACTTCATTATCAGGAGCTCATATGACCACCCCTTCTCTTCATTTAGGACTCAACTCTAGTTTCATCTCCTGACAGAGGACCTGTGCACTTATCTGAACCAAACTAGTGGCTCTTTTACTCCGTGCTCCATGTCATTGCTCTATTTCCATCAGACTGTCTATCAGTAACCACAACAGAAAAGCACTAAGAGAACCTCTGTCTTGATCTCTCCTGAGCCCATTGCAAAAAACATGGTATTTCCCACCACCACCACCCTCAAGCTCCCCAACAAGCACTACCGTAATGAATGAGTGCATTTCACCTTTCAATTACTTACTAAGTTCTTAGGCACCAGGCAAATGATAAATGGAGAAGTCAGTTGAGCCTCAAGCTGGGGAAACTAATATCCCATTAACAAGTAGCATTGGGCATGCGAGTGGTTTTAGGCTGCAGAGGATTTGGCAGACAAAGCTTCCTGCCAAATGGAGCACTAGCAGAGGGAAACAACAGCTTGTGGCATGAGAGGGAAAAAGCACAGCCCTTTGATCTTTCATTTGTTCTAGCCACAAGATTATATCAACTGTGGAGACTGAACCAGTTCCTCTTAATCCAAAGAGAATGTGTACCAGTTGAATTGAATAGACTTTAAAAACACATTTTGAAATGCTCTCCTTCCCACACAGGGGGTTGGGTGGTTGATATTCTCCAGACTTCAGATGTTGACACTATGTTCAAATCTGAGAAAACCTTGAAGAACAAAAGGAACTGACTAAAAACAAAACAAAGTAAAAACGTGTGTTCCCAATCCTACAGCTATGCTACACTGCCCCCCTGCTTGAGATCCTTGAACAAAAATCTGTTCATTCACTCAGCGAGCGTTCTGACAGACAGCCTCAGCTCTGAAGCCCTGTGGGAACAAGGTGAATACTTACGTGAGTAGATTTCCTGAAGATCGGATCAGGTCAACCACTTGTTTGTAGGTTAAGCCTTCTGTGCTCACGCCATTGATATTTGCAAGGACATCACCTGGGAGATGTCAAGAAAAACATGAATGTTACATTGGTTAGGGAAATACTTCCTGCTGATATGCAAATAAAAAAAACAAAACAAGCAAGCTTTATATCTTACCAATATAAAACACTGAGATAATTTCAAGCATAAATCTCACCTTGACCTTCACTAGCAAATAGTTTTCATTTGTTGCTATTGCAATGACTCCTGACAAATAAAGTTATGAATTACCAGCTTGCAGGCCAGCACAGTGAGCCGGGCTGTCCTCCTGCACGCTGCAGATCAGAGTACACATGTCTGAGGAGCAGGCATTCTGGTTCTGGAGCCTGTAAGGCTGTGAAAACGAAGGTGATACACAGTCACTATTAGGAAAAAATCCAAAACCTACTTGTCAAAAACTAAAAGTTTGCCAATTACCAGTGAGTAGTATAATACACAAGTACAAAGGACAATTTGGAAAGGCTACCATAAGAATAGACTGAATGAAAGGAACCAATTTTTCAGCTTAATTCCAGTCATCAAAAAAAAATCTGACATGAAAAGGAAAATGGGACAAGAGTACTGAATTTTTTATATCTTCAGTTCTATAGACCACCTTACACTACATCATTACATATTTCTTGAGAAAAAATTTAAGTGTCTAATTTACTAATGGAATTAACAACTGGAACAAAGAGCAGAGAAAAACCTCAATGTGATTCTCCCAAGCTTAAGTACTCACTACCGGAGCACACGAAACAGTACTTCAAGCAAAGGAAAATATGCCAACAATGCTTATTTTAAATCTAAGTTCTGCAAATAATGACAATCTGCCCTGTATTTCTTCAAACGTACTGTAATTGATTCAATTACCTTTCTCTCAAAGCACTTTTGGGCACATCTGCTCTGAATTCTCACTGGTTCGTTAGTTGTTGCCCCAGTAAATGAGAATATGTTGTGCTTCCCTTGCCTCAACTTAGCCAACTAGTTCAATGGTGATTGTTTTTTCTTTTTTTTTTAATCCCAAATTCTACCAAAGCAACAAACAAATGCTTGCTAGATATCATGCCCCCATGATCTATAAGTAACATCCCCCCCCCCCACCGTACATTCAAGTTGTGAGCTCTGGGTTCATTTGACATCAAAATTAGTGCCTGAGTTTAGCAGGAGTTTTAAATATCTGATTCCTGAGGCTAGCATTGTGGCACCACAAGTCAAACCTCTGTTTACAATGCTAGCATCCTATATTCAAGTGCAGATTCCAATTTAGGCTGCTCAACTTCCAGTCCAACTCACTACTAATGCACCTGAGATAGCAACAGAAGATAATCCAAGTGATTTTGCTCCTGCCGCTCTTGGGGGTCACAAAGATAGAGCTCCTGGCTCCTGACGTCAGCCAGGCCTAACTCCAACCATTTGTAGAGCGGACCAACCAATGATGGAAGAGATGAAACAGTTCTTTTGCAACTTGATATCTCTCTCTCTCTGACTCTCTCTCTCTTCCCTTTAAAATAAATGAAACAAAGATGGACTTACAATGAAACTGTTTACTATATCTTGACAATAGGATTCTGGACTCTCTGCCATTGTCCATGCTCACAATGATGGGCATACGACTGTGTATGAAGAACTGCACTTTATTAATGATATAGAGGAACTAAGTGGGGAGGGGGAATTGGGGTTGGGATAAGAGAAATACCAGGAGCCTATGGAACAGTATCTGGAAATCCCTCAAAACAAACAAACAAAAAACAAAATCTAGACTAGACAGAGAATAACAGCAGCTGCTGCTCATACTTGAGGGCAATTCTCACTTGACAAGGAGCAGTTGCAAAAAGCATAGTATCTTTAGGACAATATAGAGAGTATTTTGTGTAAATAAGGTTTACCAGAGGACACTATTACAAATAGACTTCACCAATTGTTGTGGAGAAATATAGAGTTTGACAAATTTAAAAGCCAAACAGCTCAAAAATTAAAAGATGGTTTCTCTTAGAGCCTTCTCCCTGTTCATTCCATTTTGCTCCTTTATTCATAAAACATGTTTTGCTTAGCAGCTTCCTGTTCTTGATCTTAAAATACACAGTGACTTTCCAATTGTGGGGCTGATCTCATACCAAAGTTTTCTGAGAGCAGTTCCAGAACTAAGATCTAAAATCTGATTTATAGTAGGAATATAATTATGCAAAGCACATCTGAAGAAAATGCAAAAGTACGAGGGAAGAGAGCAGTTATACTTAAGGCACTTGTAGTGTGTTTGGTTGGACTAGACTTCTTTTGTCTTATTTCACTCTTACTGCAAACATGGTCATGGAGAAGGAAGGAGATAGCAAACAAGAAATAAAATACTTTGGAAATTGTGTTCAAATCTATAAAGACTGTTCTAAATTTCTTAAAGCATACAGCAATATAAAGGTAGATGTGAATGTCCCACAGCGGTTCAAATAATATTTACAAAGTGCTGTCATGATTATAAGGATGAAAAATTTCTCACTATGTCCAATATGAATCTTAAGAAGCAGACACAATGGGAAATATCCAGGAATATATGTATTCCACATACAAGATGTAGTCTTTCCAGCATTTCTTGAATTTTGAAGTATAGATTTGTAACATGATACACAGCATAATAACACAATTACAAAGACTACATCAAAACGCAAACATATAAAAAATGCATCTGTAAAAAAGTATTACACTTTCTTGTTTAAGACCAGAGTGTCATCATGCACTTTTGAAGAAATTGAGTCTGGGACCTGAGCAGATCTCATTTCTAAAATAAGGATGTTATTCTAGCAGCTTCAGTGTTTTCTTTGACAGTGCTTAGCACACTGAAAAACAACCAGGAACCTCTAGGCACGGAATAGAACCCAGTCCCCATAATTCTCTATCCCTAACTTCAATGACTTTTTTTCAAACATGATAGTACTACCAATGTAATGCTACTTGTTTTAAAATCTAAAAAGTACTTACCTGAATTTCAAATCCAAATGTTTCATTATCTTGCTTTGCTACAGTAACAAGCTTTCTGTATTAAAAATGATGAAAGTTTCATTAACGTCAAAGGAACACACTCAATGCATTTTGTTTTTTAAAAATGATTATAACAAAAAAATTTGTGTAAACTTCAGTATGTATGACTGTGTGTGCATGGGTGTCTGTGAGCAATAGTTTGTGTAATTGTGCTTCCAAATATCTTGGTAACAGATCCAATAATAAACAAGTCACTTTTACCTTTGAGACCAGGAAAAGTCACCCCAGGAACCAGATCTCGTCAAAGCAAACTGAAAAATATAAAACGTGTATAATTATTTCAAGGTCCTTAAGATGTCTAAGTAAACTCGTCTAGTATGCAATGGGCTTTATCAATTTCCTGGCCCAGCTCCTGGAAAATGCTTGCTAAAGACAGGATTTCCTTTCTCCAGCAAAGGTAGAGGAAAAGTGAGCAAGAGTGCTTTCAGCAATTACATGTGAAGACTTAAAAAAGGCTCAGATAATAATGCATTATCGCAGGAAAAAAAGTTCATGCATTTTGGCAAACCCCCAGTGTTTCCCACGAGAACTCCTTCTCTGTACTGCATTTAAAACAGCATCTGAAGGGTTAACCACAGCAGTCTATACTCACCCATTTCAGGATTTCACCAAAGAATTCTAAGACCCAGAAGAAAGGCATACAAAGCCCCAGTGCTCATGCGTAATAGATTCAAACAATGCAGGTAAAATGACATTGTTCTTTGCAGTGATTCAATGTGTTAGACTTTCAGTTGAATCACTAGCTCGTAGGAGAAAATATTATGGCTCAGTGCATTAGCTTAGCCCTTGACACACTCATGTCATGATAGAGACCCTCAAATTGAGTCCTGCTTCCAATCCATCTTCCTGCAATGCATGTAGGAAGCAGAAGCTGGTGGTTAAAGCATGTGAGTCCCTGACATCTGAGTGAGAAACACACTTGGAGTCCCAGCTTGCCAGTTTGGGTCTGGCTCAGCTCCCGCTATTGTGGGATTTGAGGGGAAAAAAAAAATCAGTGAACGAAAGTTCTCTCACTCTGCTTTCAAAGACATCAATTCTGAAGGGAAGTGGCATATATGAACAAAGCTTAGTAGCCTAAAACCATGTGTGCAATTGGAATATCAATAAAGCTGAATTTGGTTCCTGGGGGGGAAAAACAGAATTAGAGAAAAAAACAGCTCATATACAGACACTATCCAGGTGAAATCAATTACTTAAACCTACCTCAATTCTGTCTGTGACTTAGTTTTTCCATCATTTTGGAGTAACGCAGTGAGATTCGTCAACAAAGGAAAGGAACCTCAGGACAGTATAGATGATATAAATAACATCATCTTTGCTCCTTTACACATTAAAGAAAAGTAAATATAAGGGGTCCGGTGCAGTGGCATAGCAGCTAAAGTCTTGAATGTGCCAGGACCCCATATGGGCGCAGATGAGCACCGGTTCTAATCCCAGCAGCTCCACTTCCCATCTAGCTCCTTGCCTGTAGCCCTGGGAAAGCAGTCAAGGACGACCCAGAACCTAGGAACCCTGCACCTACATGGGAGCGCTGGAAGAGGTTCCTGACTCGTGGCTTCGGATCGAAGCAGCACCAGCAGTTCCGGCCACTTCGGGAGTAAATTATTGGAGGGAAGATCTTCTTCTCTGTCTCTCCTCCTCTCTGTATATCTGACTTTGCAATAAAAATAAATAAGTCTTTTTAAAAAATGAGTATAAGTTTTCAAGATATACATCATCATTGTGAATCAAAGTCAACAAAGTTGTTTTCTTAATTTTAGAAGCATTGCTGAGGGTTTTATGTAATTTTTGTTTGGGAAATGCAGTAAGTGTTTAACCTTGTCTCTCTTTGTCCAAGAACCCAACACAGTGTATTTTGTTAGCCCAAACCGCTTAACTGTCAACCTAATATGCCTGTCAAACACCTATGCAACCATTTCAAAAAAATTGTTCCCACATTTATTTTTAATGCCATTTTCCATGAACTTTCAATGTGCCCTTATATATGAGTCAATACATAAGGTATCAGAGTAGTGCATAGAACCTTAAATATATTAAAACAGAGGGAGAAAACAACATGGAAAAAAATGGATGCCTGTGCAATAAGTTTCGAAACGAAATGCATAGTAAGGTATCTTTTAGCAGGAGATTAGCTGTGTGGTGAACGGCGAAAGAGGGCAATAAAGTTGTATTTTCATACATTTTCAAATTTCCTCTTAAACTATAATCACAGTTTTTCATCTGTTTCATTACCTTCAGCTGTTTGTCTTCGACTCAAATCAGATTGTAAGGTAACATTTAATCATGAATCAATCATCGTAAAATCATATATATTTTTCAAGATTTATTTATTCTACTTGAAAGTCACAATTACAGGGACAGTGGGAGAATCAGAGAAAGAGAGAAAGCTCTTTCAGCCACTGGCTCACTGCCCTAATGGCCACAATGACCAGGGCTGGGTCAGTCTGAAGTTGGGAGCTAGGAGTTTCTCCTGCGTCTCCCACATCGATGCAAGGGCTCAACAACTTGAGATGCCATTTTCTGCTGATTTCCAAGGCCAGTAGCAAGAAGATGTGTGAACAGTAGAGCATCTGACACGTGAGCCAGTTCCCATATGGGATGTCAGCACTGCAGGCAGATTAGTGTCTACACCACCATGTGACCCCTGGGCATATATTTCTAAAATAAGTACTTTTGATATCAAACTTACCATATTCATATATGTAGAACTATATTTGTATGTCTTTAAATGAAGAGCATACTGGTTAAATTCTATATATAATCCTCATGATGACTTTAGCCTCTTAAAGAATGTATTTTTATACCTCCTAACCCCAAATTCTAACATAAGGCCTGAAACAGTTTAAATTTTTTAAAAAATGAATAAACAGAAATAAAGTATGAGACAATATTACAAGCAAATTAGTGAGAGTGGATATTCATATTAAAGTATCCAAGTTCAGAATATATGTATTAAGATATCTTTAACTTTGACTTTCATTACATTAAATAATCACTGGAAGAACAACATAATTATCAAACAAAATAAAATTGTTTAAAAATGTTTCATATTTTTAAGAAACACCAGAGAACAAAAACAGCAAAATCCTCAACCCAACAAGAAATACTAGAGAAAATGATGAGTAAAAATAACGTAAGATAGTCATATCCTAACATACAAATGTAAAGTGAGTGAATAAAAAGAATAAATCATTCAGTAAAGTTCAAGCTTTGGCCTTTTTAATATGCTTTTACTAGACTAACAATCACAGCAGTAATCACATCCTCAAGATGTTACCCAACCTGCCTTTGAAATAAAATATAATTCTTCATAGACTCTAATCAAAATCCTTTAGGTTCATAAGACAGACCCAAGACCTCTACAGAGAAGGAAAAGTCCCCCAGACTCCAATTTCCAACCTTTTTATTTATCTAAGACTGAAGATAAAAGCATTTTCCTAGCACAACATGAGCACCATAGCAGTGTTCAACTAATGTGGAGTGACTGACTTGGACTAGTAGTGACACACAAAGAAATAACACTAGGTCAAATTATAAATTAGTTTCCACCCAGATTAGTAAAGAAGTTGTTTCAGGCACCCTAGAATCCAAATCAAAAGTAGTTTAAAAAAATTAGGCACCGGGACTGGCACAATAGTGTAATGGTTAAGGTCCTCACCTTGAACGCGCCAGGAGCCCATATGGGCGCTGGTTCTAATCCTGGCAGCTCCACTTCCCATCCAGCTCCCTGCTTGTGGCCTGGGAAAGCAGTCGAGGACTGCCCAGGGACCCTGCACCCATGTAGGAGACCTGGAGGAGGCTCCTAGCTCTTGGCTTCGGACTGGCACAGCACCGGCCATTGCAGTCATTTGGGGAGTGAACCATCGGATGGAAGGTCTTCCTCTCTGTCTCTCCTCTTCTCTGTATATCCATCTTTCCAATAAAATAAATGAATCTTTAAAAAAAAATTAGGCACCATCAAAATCTCTGACATAGACCACATGCTGACACAGAGCCTCCTTGTATTTGATCAGGGCTGTCAGACTCAAGTGATGTAGAAAGGAATGTTCTCAGGGTTCCATGTTGCTTGTTCAGCACAAAATCTGCCTAAGAGATAAGAAATGTGTTTCAGTCTTATCAAAGGTCTTACACTTGGGAAACAATTAGCCCCGTACCCTTTTTCCTGGGGGAAGTAGTTCAGGCTGCTTTACTCAAGGTTCTAGTGAAAGCATCAAAAATCATGAATGAGGAGCTGGTGTGCAATTCACAGCATATGCTGGCAGCAGCTGTCTTTTATTACACATTATCTAATATGAGAAATCTAGGTTTAGCAATTTGGCAGGCTTGCAAACTACACATTCAATTATGACTGCTGAATAGACAAAGCTCCTTAAGTCCTTGCTAGCCGCTAATCTAATGATGCCTGGGACGCTGGGCTTGTGACTGTTCTTCTGTTTTATTATCACATGACTTAGAAGATCAGGCTTTAACATTCAGAATGTAATTTACCCTGCTACACAGTGATTCACATGTCCTGATTTCATGGGAAACCAAGACTTAACTACTTCTGTTAGTGAACTACTAACTACTGTCTCTTTGCAAAAGATAGAGGTAATGTGCAGCTCAGCCAAATTGAGCACTGCCTTTGAAGAACTCAAAGTTCAACCCTGTGGCCACTTTTGCTGCAAAACGACAGCTACTTCCTGGTCTCCTTTTTGTGTGCTCACTTCCTGATAGGCTAGGGGGAGGAATCTAATTCATAAGTTAGGTGTTGTTTGCTTCAAAGGTCCCAAAATCATGTGTCCCCTACCTCACCCTAATTTTTCCATAAATACAGTTCCTGTCCTACTTTATGGGTCAGGGGATGTTGATAGCAAGGCTTAGCAGACTAATTAAAGGCACAGCTAAATAAAGGAACTGAATGCAATTTGCTAACTTGTAAGTACTCTAAGTAAGCATCTTAAACAGAAAGTTGAAGCTTCTGGGGAGAGTCAGCTTATAGGTTCCCCAAACTGTTTTTTCCAATTACTAGATCTTGACTCCAAGTACAGCACAATAAATATTAAATAATACTTTTCAAATACGTATTTAGTGAAACTAACATTGAATTGCACCTAAAAGCCTTGTGGGATAATTAGATCCCTTTAGTGGAATGAGTAGCATTTTGGAGGTGATATCTGGTGGATGCACTGCCAGAAATACAAAAGCTGCAAAGAAGCCTAACAGTATAAACGTTGCAGAATTCTTTTTCTGAACTTATAAATGAAATCATTTTCCCAGGAATTGCTTAGCTAATAATAATCTGATAACTAGAAGAAAATTCGGCCAACAAAGGCCCCTAGTGGCACTAGTACTGTAATATTTCTTGCCAGACTGCCAGATCCCTAGTTCTCATTACAATATTCAGTGAACTTCTCCACAGTGAACTTTCAGCTTCAGTTACGCCGAAGCCAACTTGTGAGGAGTGACAGTAAGACACAGTCTCTACTCCGTGAGTGTTTATAAAATTTTTCTCATTTCCTTATCTTTTCAACAAAGTTCTCCATTGCAGTGGCCTCTTCTTTTTTCTTTTTTAAAAATATGTTCAAATGTAGGAGAATTTCTGGGATGTCTGACACTTAGAACAAATGCAGGTAATGAAGTAATACAAATGCAGAGAGAAATCTATTTGTATGCCATTTTCAACGAACAAATGAATCTGAGACTATAGGATAACCAGATACAGCTTTACAAAAGCCTATGTCACCAACAAAAGAAGCATAAAAGTGCTAAAAATAATGGTAGGCAAGAAACACCTGCTCATGTGGCTGCAACAAGGGATCTTGTTGCCTGCAATTCAGTCAGTGCCAAATGGGTGATCATTTTCTAAAAAACCAAGGGAAAGGAATATTGGTTTGAAAAACTGAACTTCTGGACATATTTGCATCGGGTCTCAATGATAATAAATGCATACAATTAAAGCATCATGTTCAAGAGGGTTTGTCTTGCTTTCTTTTAAAACTAACTGAAAAAAAAAAAGTAATTGACAGCCCGGCTCAGTAGCCTAGTGGCTAAAGTCCTCGCCTTGCATGCACAGGGATCCTATGTGGGCACTGTTCATATCCTGGATACTCCATGTCCCTTCCTGCTCCCTGCTTGTCATCTGGGAAAGCAGTGGAAACAGTGGAGGACAGTCCAGATCCTTGGAACCCTGAACCCACATGGGAGACCCAAAGGAAGCTTCTGGCTCCTGGCTTCAGATTGGCTCAGCTCCACCCATTGCAGCCATTTGTGGAGTGAACCAGCAGGCATAAAATCTTTCTCTTAGCCCCTTCTCTCCAGAAATCTGACTTTCCAAAAAAAAAAAAAAATTTAAGAATAAATAAATAAAATAAATGTGAAAGAAAAAGTAATTTCCACAATAACAAGGAAAAGCTGTTTGAACAAAAAGTTTACCATGTGAAACTATGTGATCATGAGGAGATCTGGAGAAGGCACGAATGTAGCATATACTGTTTTGTGCAGGTCGATGTGCAGGGCATGAACATACACACGTACTCGCACACACAGGTGTGAATTCCTATGTCCAAATTTCTCTTGCTATTTTCTTCCTTCGATCAGCCCCCTCGTACTGACTGCCTTTTTAAGGTCACTCAATCTTCACTCACTCTCCACTCTCAATGCCTTTCATAGTCTGCTCATCACTGTCTCATTTTCTTTTCCTCCAAACTACTACCGCCAAAGTTCCTCTATCCACCTACACATCACTTTTCTAAAATTGTTACCCAAATCCTGCACTGCTTTTCCAAGTTTGGATGACATCCAGCTCTCTTTGTCTGCAAGGTCAACATTCGTGGGTCCCACCAACATTAGAATGAAAATAGGTTTTTTACTGAACACGTACACATGTTTTTTTGCAAAACAACTGAGCGCTGAGATCTTTTATCGCCCACGCACGCACTGCTTTTCTTAACACACTCCGTATTATGTGGTGATCTGAACATGTGCTCAAGGCCCCAGGTCCCGTGCTGCACGTTAATGGCTGTCTTGTTGTGTAATACCAAATATCCTTCAAGGTTGTACTCAAAGACATGTAACTGGGAGGAGAGCATTTGAGCTGTTTTATCTTCAATAACAGGTATTCATTCTGCCTACTGAGTGGCAAACCGTGTTCTAGCCGGAAGCCTGTTCTGCTCTTTGTGCCTCCTGCACGTAGCGTGATGTCTATCTCTCCCCTTACAGCCACTCAGACCACTTTGTTGCACCAAAATTCCTGGGTTTAATAGTAAATAAAAGGAATGATACTTAATTAAGAGCATAGGGATGGAAAATTTCCAACCTTTTCAAATAAAAACACATTGAATGAAAAGACAAAAAAATGCTAATCAGAAAATCATGCCATTTACCTTCTACACACAAAATATAAAGGAATCAGCGATATACAACACTGAACCCTTTAATCCTGCACTAAAAGTAGCATGAGCGGTACATGTGAGCACAATTAGAGTGGAAAAATTTTGGGGGGATTCTACTTTCTAAAGGAATTCTAAATGGTTTCTCTGCAGGTGTTGTACTACATTCAAATATTTATTGAGGCATGACAGCAAGTCATACAAGCACAAGCCGAGGAAACACTCTGTTCTTTTTTATTTTAAGCTTTCTTTGCATGTTAGAAAATGAAGAACAAAAAATGAATTTAATCCAGTTGGACCTGAATTTTCTGAGTTTTCATCCCCCTGAAAAACACTTTGCAGTGAAAATTTTCAAACAGTATAATCTGGCCATTAATGTGCAAATACTGCATGTCAAGCCCTGGGTTGGGCACCGCACATGTCCTTACTTACATATTGCAAGAACTCAGTAAGAGTACTTCTTTACTTATATTCACTTCAGAAGAAAATAAAACTGAATCCTATTGGAGCAAATGACTTGCTCAAGATCCCACAGCCACCAAGCGGCTGAGCTGCAGTTCAATCTGACCCTCACCCATCCAAAAGCCTCACTCCTCAGAGACGTGAAGTACATCCCAATGCCCAGAGCCAAAGATAACTTAGTCAACAAACTTTGTCCTCAGGAAAAAAAAATCCTCTTTGCTTATGAGCTAAAACGACTAACAAGGACTAGAAGTTAGAATAAGGGGGAAAAAATCAATGAGTAATTAAAGAGAAAGAAATTTTGCTGCACTTATGGTTGTGCCCACAGAAACCATCCTCAAGTTTGCGAGGCTCAAGTTTTCCTTTTATCTGAGTGCCTCTCCAAGTGAGAAGGACAGCTTTTAAGTTTTTCCTCGGGGTAGAAAAAGAGGATTTGAGTGTTTGGTTATGGTCTGCACTCTCTGGCCTAGTGCAATAGCTCGTGTGGGCCTTTAGCTTCCTTCCTCGCTCCCACTGTCCCTAATCCCAAAGCCTCTAAGCTGGAATGTTCAGTACAAAGTAGGACAAACATGATCACTCAGCTCTTAGGAGAACATGACAGTATCAAAGGTATAAAATCAAACCCATACCTGTTTTCGTCCCCGGGGCAGTGTAGCCACCGTGTCTGCCAGCATTTGAATCCTCCTGTTGTCATCCTCTGTAAGGCTGCCTGGGAGTGTGGAGAAAGATCTATACGCTGGACCAATGCTATAGTCCACCAAATTAACATTGCTGCTCTGCTGCTTGAGCCTTTGCAAAGACATTGTGAACAAAGATCACTCCAGCGAGCACATGGCTGAGTGGCCTCTCAGGATGGGGGAAGCTGAAAGTACCACTCTCACACAAGTCGTCCAAAGTAACAAAGCAGAAAGAGCCCATGTGACTTCTGTGGTTTGAGGTACTTGTTACACAAACCCCATCTTGCAGGTCACTCCCATTTCTCACTGCTTTCTTCTGTAAGTTCCTAAGAGAACCTCAAGCTGAGTTTCAAAATTTAAAAAAAAATCAACTTTTTTTCTTCCCCAGATACCCAGAAATCTTAGGTTTCCATATTCTATGGCACGTTGTGTTCAAAACACCATCTGCCATGTTTTTGAACAAGAAAGGAAAACTTCCTCACGTTCTGCCATTTATTTCACATCCATTCCCCTAGTTAACATTAGCAGTGCAGTGTAAAAATCTGAATGTATGGACATTCGGCTCTAGTGAGTGGGAAAAAAAAATTACAAGTGCTGGTTCCATTGTTCCCTTACAAAGTCATTGTAATGTACATTCCCTAAGGTACACCTGAGCTCATGAATGTTCATCAAAAATACGTTCCATCTGCCACTTGGATTATAAGAATTCAGCATCCTAGTGGCTGTTCTGCTGCTGCTCTGCCTTTACTAAAGATGATCCGTCATCTTTACAAGGTATACAGGAAGGCAAAGCCAGCTCCCTTGGGCACAGTACTGCCTACCTTTTACTTGATTTTCTCAGAATCAGCAAGTGATCCAATGGGTGGAATGGGATGGGTGGGCAGAGAGGGCAACAAGGGGACACGATGGTTTCAGTTGGTCCCAGAAAAGCTTATGGGTCAAGGGAACCACGAAAGGCAGTGAAGATCACAGGTGGGTTTTTGGTTTTTTTAGTTTTTATTTGGGGGTGGGGTGAGGCAGGGTTTGGAGCAAATAGCTTTGGAAGAAGTGGTTTCAGGGCAGGATCAGTTCAGAAAGGCAAGCAGAAGAGAGAATCGAAACAAAAAATCAAGAGAAGTTTCATATAACACAAGTAGTCAAACGTCCTTTCAAAATCATTTTGTAGGTTAATACTAGAATTCAAAATAAGTAAGTAATCTTTTTTCTTCTCTCTTCTCCCTTTCTCTATACTCTACTCTTTTTCCCCTTTCTCTTGCTTCCCCTCCACCTTTGCTGTCTGTTGCTCCGCATTTCAAATATGTAAGTGTGTAACTAAAAAAAATACATTAAAAAGTGCCATGGCGATTACAGAAGCTAGAGAGGGAAAGGGGGAGAGGAATGGGGGAAGATTGCTTAATAGGTACTAAATTGGAGCCACATAGGTGATAAAATCCTGGGGCTCTATTGCACAGTGGGGTGACAAGTGATAATGCTCATGAACTATAGATTTCTCTGTGTTAGAAAACTACAAGAAAAGACTTGGGATGTTTTCACCTTAAAAATGTTAAATATTTGAGGAGACAAATTTTCTCTGCTTGTACATTCGCACTTACCAAAACATCGCTAGTACTCTATTAATATGGAAAATTCTTATGTTGGTTAAAAACATTTGCATTAAATTAAAAATAAATTAAACCTAACAAATGTTTTATTTTTAGTCTTCTCTCTGTCTTTGTCTCTGTCTCTCTCTCTCTCTCTGTCTTTGTATCTATCTTTCTCTGCCATGTGAAAACCCAACAAGAGGCAGGCATCTGCACTGGAAGCAGAGGGCCCTCACCAGGAACTGAATGGCCAGCATCTGGCCTTGTGCTTCTCAACCTCCAGAACTATAAGAAAAAAACATTTCTGTTGCTTTAAGCTGCCAAGTCTACGTTGTGTGTTTGCCATGGTATTCGCTATAGCAGCCTGAACTGACTCATATACTCCTCAAAACCCAGATATCCTGTTGACACTAATATTTGTGGAGAGGAACAGACATATTAGCCAACCTTATTGGATTTTATTATAAGTAACCCCGGGTTTTTCAGAAAGTTTATGGGAATATCAAATTAATGAGTTTAGTTTTGGTGAAAAAGAAATTGGAAACGATGCATAGGTTTCCCATTACATCCAATTTCCATGAAATTTTTTAAGACACTTGAAAATTGACAAGAAAATACTTCTAACAAAATGACTATAATTCGGTATTAACTACTGTGACCATATGTGGAGGCAAAAATATCCTCAGGTACCCATGAGATGTCTAAAGACTAGAATACAGATGAAGTTCCTTCATGTAGTATATCAAGAGGTCTGCCAGGCAACATCAGTGTTAATGTCTGACATTTCTGGATTATTCTTAGTCCAATAAATATGTTCATTAAAGCAAGCTTGGGAAGGATTCCGTGATAGCTCAAAAAATTTCTAAGGCCAGCATTGTGGTAGAGCATGTTAAGCTGGCACCCAAGATTCCAAAGATTCCAACATGATGTCTGGGTTCTGGTACAAGTCCTGTGGCTGCTCCAGTGCCAGTCCAGCTCCCTGCTAAGGTACCTGGGAAAGCAGTAAAGATGGCCCAAGTGCTTGGACACCTGCCAGCACTGTGGGAGGCCAAATACTTCCAGGATCCTGGTTTTGGTTAGAATTAGTCCCACCTGTTGTGGTCATGTGGTCTATCAGTAGATAGAAATCTCTCTCTCAGGGTCTTTCCCTCTCTATATTATATAATTTTGCTTTTAAAATAAAAAAAAATAAATCCTTTAAAAACTAAGATTTCCTCTATTGTCTTATACAGTTTAGATGGGTTTTCAGCTTTGAGTTTGTTTTATATTGGTTACTTGATTTTTTTGAACCAAAAGATTTAATTGTCTTGGTTTGGTTGTGGCCCTTTGCCTTTATTTGGACAAAAAGCCTTTAATTACTTCCCTAGACTAGAGTAGATGAGTTGAAGTCACACACACAATGTTTAAATGGTGCATTCTGATTTTATACAATTAAATTATTTCAATTTACTTAGCAGATCAATTTACAGATGTTACTTGACCTGTTTATCACCTTGATGATTAGGTTGGATGGATGGATGTCTTTCTCTTCCATATTCAGTTTGAGACCCTGGGATAATGAATAGCATTTGCCAGGAACATTAGCATTCTTCAGGAAAGACCAAACTAAAGCCACAAGCAAGACTGGCTCTGCTGAAGAACAGCCATCTCAGTAAAGGAAAATAAAAGAAGCAGAGGTCATAAAGTTCCTACGTTAGAAATCATAATGCAGATACAAGCCAAATATTAACTTATAACTGAGCATACATATTTGAAAGAGCACAAAGGTAAACCTTAAATGGAATATAAATAATAATTAACCATAGATCATGTTCATCATGCTTTAATACAAGGACAAAGAAATAATTCTCTGATCTATTTAAATTTGATTTGATCAAGCAAGGAAGCTGCGAGTGGATTGTAACTAAATTCATTTGGCCTTTAAATATGAGTAAGTTATCCAGGTGATACAAATAGATTATCTAGCTCAGCTTTTCAAAATCAACCAAGAGGGATGACTTCAAGGTTTATTTCAATTATAAAGACGTCATTACATTTCCCACAAAGATAGTATTAACTGCATTTTTTAAAACTTCAGGACCCGGTGCGATGACCTAAAATCCTGGCCTTGCAACCCCCAGGATCCCATATGGGCACAGGTTCATGTCCCATCTGCTCCACTTCCATCCAGCTCCCTACTTGTGACCTCGACAGGCAGTAGAGAATGGCCCAAAGTTGAGACCCTGAGCCCTCATGGGATACCCAGAAGAGGCTTCTGGCTCCTGATCATCTCCGGCCATTGCAGTCACCTGGAGAATGAACAAGTGGACAGAACATGTTTCTTTCTATATATGTCTCCTTCTCTCTATATATCTACCTGTTTAATAAAAATAAATAAATATGGGACCAGCGCGGTGGCGCAGTGGTTAAGGTCCTCGCCTTGCATGCCCGGAAGAGAGGAAGAGGTGTTTGATGCTGCAGTTGAAGCACCTCTTGGGATACACACATTCCAAATCAGAGCATCTGAGTTCAAGTCCCAGCTCTGCTCCTCCATCAAGCTTTCTGGAAGACAGCAGATGATGGCTCAGACTCTCACCATCCACTTGGAAGACCTGGACTGAGATGCATAGTCTGGCTTTTGATTGGCTAAGTCCTGAGTAACAAACATCAGGAGAACAAACCACTGGATAAATATCTCTTTGTCTCTCATGCTTTCAAATAAAACAAAAATAACAATTAATTTTTGGATGTTAACTAGTTATACTGCATATCTAATAGGGAATTCCTACTCAGAAATAGGTCATAGAGAACTAAATAAAAGCAATTTTGGTTGCTTCAAATTCATTTTTTCAGCAAGATGCCTTTGAAACAAATTTTCATTATGGTATAGTTTGACATTCACATACAAATCTTAAAATTTGATGTTTTGATCCATAAAATCACTACAGCCAAAGTAGAGGGCATTTGTACCCATCCCTCTGCCCCCAGATTTCTTGATGCTTCAGTTTTTGTAAATTCCCCTCTCACTACTACCCATCCTGTCCCTAAATATTTTTTGTGTAAAATAGTTACTGATACAAATACTTTAATGATCATGATTTAACATTTTAAAAAATACATCTTGTTTGATTTTTAAGATAACAATTCAAATTTTAATTTCTTTTAAAATAGTTCTGGTAAAATTGAAATAAATATAAATTATTAACCTAACTTTTTCAACTGTTAGCTAAGAGTACAAGTTAGAACAGAGTTCAAATTAATTACGAGTTCTACTAATGTCCCAATATGACTCCCTTTGGACTAATAAAATGTTAAGAGTGGGGGGTAAAAGCCTAAGTTAAGCACACAAGCACAGTTTCTCAGAAAACAAAACATACTTTTCATGAATCTTTGAACACAAAAATAAGCAGAGGTCAATTGGGTTGAGATGAGCTACATTTTCACCCTCAGAGAATTGTCCCACAACATGGAGATGTCTTTCCAAGAAAAATGAAGGCTTTCAGATAGATGAGTGTTTTCACTGTTTCAGGAATACTGACATACCAAAAGTAAGTAGCTATTACTCTTTTAGGTCACTGGATAAGTAAAACATTTAATGATTTGTGAGAGTACAAATATAAATAGATATTAACTAAATAGTACCCATGCAATAAATAAACCA